TTGACTTGGTGTTGTCAGCACCACGCTCACCCAGTGAGCTAACCGGCCATCCCTATATGGGATCCGAACCCGGGGCCTTGGTGTTATCAGCACCGCACTCTCCCGAGTGAGCCACGGGCAGGCCCTTCTCTGCTTTTCTGATAGGCCTATGTATAGCAGAGAGTATGGGCTTTAAATTAGATAGAGTGGGAATTACATCTTTTCTCTGTTACTTACAAACAATTTTACCTTGAGCTATTAATTTGGCTTCTCTGAGTCATCTCGGTTTTGTCTTTTAAATAAGGAAATTATTCTTATGGTTTTCTGCTGTCTCTTGCTAAATAGAAATGATACATAAAAATAGTTGCTTAGTACATTATTGCTATGATCTTTCATCCAGCCACCAGTTCTGCTTAATCAGAAAAGCCCCTGCAGTACTGTATTGCTAAACCTAGAAAACAATGTTGTTTCAAGTTTTTACAGTCAAAAGAAACAAAAGCAAATTTAAAAAGAGCAAAACAATAACAACAAAACTGTCTATTCTTTCACTACCTCCACCATTCTTTACACAAAAAATGATTTATACATTGTTTTGGCTTAGAGTTTATCCTATTTTGCTGACAAACTTGGTAAATCAGTGATTTTTTAAAGGTTAACCTGAAAATGTGGAGACTCATCATCAACTTTTGCTCAGAGTACAGGTATTAATAACACTTTCTCCACAACTGGTTAGCTCAAAAGGGAAACATAGTTTAAAGTACTTGACATTTATTGAGCACTTTCTATGCTGCAGGCATTCTTTTAGGTGCTTTACAATTTTATCAATTTTTATTAGTTTATCAGTTCATTTAATCCTCATCACAACCCTGTAAAATAAGTACATTATCATCACTTTACAGATGAGGAACTGAAGATGCAGAGAGGTAAGTAATTTGCCCAGAACCACATGCCTGGTAAGCACAGAGCCAGAATTCAAACCCAGAAGAGGTAAGTAATTTGCCCAGAACCACATGCCTGGTAAGCACAGAGCCAGAATTCAAACCCAGGCAGTTTCACCCTAGAATCTTACTCTTAACCCTACATTGTACTGTAGGTGACCTTCAGGAAAGAGCTATGATATTGCACGGAGGGGCCCATCTGAAAGCTTACCCCATTGGGGGTTGTGTCCCTGTTAAATATGGGCCAGGTCTTCCAATTCATGTCATGCCGGTACTGTCGGTGCACGTGTTCCCCCAGACCATACACGTTAGCACTAGGCAGTCGGATGGAGAGCTGCAGGAACTGATCGGCAAACAGGAGGGGTCCGATGCTTGAGTCAAACCTAGACACAGGTGGAGAACACAGGGACGGGAGCAAGTGGGGTGAAGAGAACACAATTGCTTTAAAAAGTGCTCTTTTCAAAATATCTAATTTATCATTTAATCAGTCCCACTTGCCCTCTGGTGACATTTTTCCATGGATGCAGAGAGACCATGACTCCTTGAAGGCAGGTAACCATGTGGTACCTTTCTCTATTTGTCCCCCAGACATCCTACTACATGGCCAGAACACTACGCTTACATGACAGTAGACGTTTAGTAACTATTTACTGTTAGGCAAGTAGTTAGATAGATGGCGGAAAGAAAGAGAAAAAGAAAAAGAAAAACAGGTGCAAACAACAAGAAAAAAGAGGAAGTAAGTCAGAAAAAAACACACATTTGGAGATAGAGTCTGGTCACCAACAGTAGGCCCACGACCTTTGGGAACATTATTGAAATGCACCCTTCCTCAGCCTTCAGACCTCCCTTCTGTGTAACCTTTCTACTCTGATCCACAGATAGGCTTCCCAAACTTACAGAACACGACTGTTGCTTCTTCTGATCACTTTGATGCTAAATGGCTGTTTGGAGACCTCAACTTCATAGGTCAAGGAAGAAGCAGCATTCCCAGTGAAGGGTTGCACATGTTCATGGGGCACTTCATACCTGTCCTTGGTTTCATCCGTAAACTGTGCAGAGGGATAAATAGAAAGAAAGCCAAAATAAAAACTTTTCTGTTTTTCAAAAAACAGAAGTATCCCCACCAACACCAGCACTTCCCAATATCTGTGCTTATGGTACAGAAGCTCAGGCACTGATTGAGCCGGCATTACGTCTAAGGTAGATGTATGCATTATGTTACCAAATTCAAAAGTTTAGCATTTGGACATAAGTTAGTCTTTAGGTATAGATATATACTGCAAGTCTGCAGAGATAGATTATCCCTAGAATATTCAAAGCTGTGATAATTTTTCCCCTATTACATTTCACATGATATCTAGGGCAAATAAATGAAAGCCAAAACTTGCCAGTAAACTCTATAATATATATTTAGAAAGTTATCACACTGAAAGCAGGCTATAGAAGCCTTCAACATACAGGTGCTAAATAAGAGTAATGACAGCAGAGAAAAATACCTCCATTAGCAAAAGTTTCTGTTTTGCAGTAACTGCAGTCATCAGGTAGGAAACAAGAGCCTCTCAAAAAGATTTTTTTAAAATTAACAAACTACAACCTTAAAGTGGAAACGGTTGGATGTCTGGTATTCTGCTGTGAGAAGGACATTGTCAACATCATTTCCAAACAGGGATGAAAAAGGCAGACCTCTCAACTGGGCTGTGAATCCTAAGAGGTAGGAGGAAAAAGGTTTTCACAGCTGGCTCTGTAAATTCACAAGTAGTAGCCACATAAAAATTAAGCTTTATGTCAAAGTGGCTGATGCAAAGCTTTTATTTCCCAAAAGAAGCAAAGAGACAGATACATACCCCGTCATACACACACACTGTGTTGGCCCAGATCCTGAAGCTATGTACTATCATTACCTTATCTAAAAACCTATGCCTTTCTTCCACAAAATCTGATTAAAAACTTCCACCAAATGGCTTAACTCTCATTCCACCGGCCACTCAGTTATTCTGTGTTAATCAGATATCCTTTACGTTCTCAGCCCCCAGTAGTATATACACATTATTCCTTCTCAGTTATTTTCATATTACATTACAGGTGATCATATAGATTGATGCCATCTTCTTAATTAAATGGTAAAACAGGGAGAGTTGAGACCTTATTAGAACAGCCAATGAGGCCAACAGCATCTGGAAGAGGAACACGCCTCTTTGTTATCCTAAGAGCCTCCCCAAAGTGTCACCTTCTGTTAGCCCCAAAATGTTCATTCCTATGATCTGCATTTTAGGGAAGAGGGGATGTTCGGTCTATGAATGATGAAATTGACTATATAACTTTCATGCTCATAACATTGGAATTATTTCCACTTCAAAAAAATTACATAAAATTGGATTTGTAAGTAGTGCCAGAGGTTACTGAGTTCAAATTCTCCATTTTAAAACTGATAAACTTGAGGACCAAAAAAGGTCATGAAGATTGCCCCGGCCACAAAGGTACATAATAGAACATGATCTCTGAACTCCCAAGGCAAAGAGTGATTTTTCCTTGATGCCAAAATAGATTCTAGTCTTTGATTAGAGCAGGGTCCACCTTCTGTCACATGCAGCAGTGTGGCCCTGCAACATGCTGACACAGCTCTTCTCCAGGGATTCAAAGCCAACCTCCACAGGGTCTGGACCTCCTGCCTCGTGGCAGAGTCTGGCTTACCTGCATTCGTGTCTACAAGATCACCCTCCATTTGGTACCCATTATTTTTGGAATAGTAGCACGAAGGGACACTTGTAGCTTCCTGAGGTACCCAGCAGCAGCCACGCTGGTCACAGGTGGCCTAAAATAAGAGGTTGGTCAAAGTAACTCCATTTGGTTGTAGAACACTATCATTTATACAGCACAAAACATCTAATTTGAGATTGTGGTATCATTAACTTCATTTTACAAATAAGGGAATTGATGTTTGGAGAAACTGAGCTCTATCCCAAGCAATGGCAGAGCTTCTACTCACAACCAGTGTTTCCGGCCAGTGTCCTTGCTATGTAGCAGTATAACACATTCCATACATTTCATCACAATAAAACTGATAAACATATTTAAATATTCTAAATTGTAATATAGTTATATAACCAATAATTTAAAATTCCAAATGGAGCTTCATTTATATTGGCTTTGACATTTAAAAACAAAAAAAGACTTCACAATCAACTTTATTCAGAACGTTTCAAATCAAACCAGTTTTGCTTTGACTTTTAAATATATGTATTACATATGTGTGTGTGACACATATGTGGCATGTGACATATATACAATCTCTCAACTCCTCCCAAGGCAGAAAGTAATCCTTCCTTGATATCCAAATAGATTCTAATTCCTACTTAAGAAACATGCCTGCCTTATACCACAACTAGTGACTGAATCAAGTGGAGACTAAAATGAATAGAATCCCTTTCTCACACCAACTAACTTGGGCCACATGTTAAATACAAAAAAAAAGGACAAAGAAATCTCTCCTGTTGAGTATGGGCTAGACCTAATGACTTGCAACTAACAGAAACTGGAGAAAATATTGGGTTGTTACTTTCAAGATTAGATCACAGAAAGATTGTGCCTTCTGTCTTGCTTGCTCTCTTTCACTTTCTCTGTTGGAGTTCTGGCTCCGGGAAAAGCGAGCTGTCATATTGTGGAGGGGCCCACATGGCAAGGTACTGAGAGAGGTCTCCAGCTAGTATCCAGGAAGGAAATGACGTTCTCTGTCCAGCAACCTCCATGGAGCTGAGTCCTGCCAACAATCACATGAGTGAGCTTGAAAAGCTCCACATTCACCTTCACTGCAGGAACTCTGAGATCCAGGCACCCACCTAAGCCACAGCCAGAATTCTGACTATAGAAGCTGTGAGAAGATAATGTGTGTTGTGCTAAACCATTAAGTTTGGGGATAATTTGTTATACAGCAAGAGATAACTAATACATCCTGCCGCACCATTTACAGATGAAGAACTCAGGGCTGAGCCCATGGCGCACTCGGGAGAGTGTGGTGCTGGGAGTGCAGCAACGCTCCTGCCGTGGGTTCGGATCCTATATAGGAACAGCCGGTGCACTCACTGGCTGAGCGTGGTGAGGGCAACACCACACCAAGGGTTGTGATCCCCTTACCAGTCATGAAAAAGACAAAAAAAAAAAAAAAAAAAAAAAAAAAACTCAGAGAAAAACGTTCACAGAGGTGAAGTGACATATATACAATCATATACAATGAAGTGACATATATACAACCTTAGTAACCTAAGTTTACTAAGCTATTGGGAAGGCAAGCCCTAAACTTCATTCTCTTGCTGTCCATTTTCTATTTCCTAATGTCTGGGTTGAATATTTCTAAGCACATTTTTCAGGAAGATAGAGCAATGCCTTGCCCATGATGAGAAAAAAAAATTCTACTTAGCTATATGAACAATTAAATTTAATCAAATGCTTTTTTTTCATTAATAGTCAATATTAAGGGAGAAAAACAATGTCCCTATGTGGTTTCTCTTGCTGTGGGATCAGCTTTCACTGTGAACTCAACTTCAATCAGCAGCTTTGTTTTTGTTATTTCCTTTCAAAATCCACTCTGATGAAACCACAGCATAACTAATAAGAAAGACAGGGGTGTTGAAAAGGGTGTTAAGCAGAATGGCTTCTGGACACTGCCCAGAGCTTAAAATTTTTTTCACTGAACTGGGAAGGGCAAAGATCAGAGCGGCCAAAGTGTCAAGGAAAGTAAACACTCTCTGTTGGCCACCTGGAGAGCTAAGCAATTAGGAGGAAAAGCGGGATGAGAAGCAGAGTAAGATCCATGTAAAAAAGGGAGTAGAAAGCATAAGAAACCTAGGAAAGTAGTTTTAAAAGCTATGAAAAATGATGACATGAATACGATGAAGGAACACAAAGGGAATAAGACTGAAGACACAAAATGCTCCTTTAAGTTGCATATGAGAATTAACATGTAAGAGAACCTGCTAAAATAATATGGAATGTATAAATACCAATACAGTACTGAGGGAAAAACTGGGGTGGGGGGAGTGTGGAAATCCTCCTTCCAAAATATAAGGAAAGAAAACATATTGATGGGAGCAGGGGGGTGGAGTGAAAGCAGTACATAAAAATCAGAGCAAACAAAAAGCACAAAATGGGACCTTAGAAAAAATGTGTCATATCTGTTATCATGTGGTTTAAATAATTAAAAGACAAAGATAGATTACATATAAAGAACTAAATCCATTAGAAAGATTCTTATAGGTGATACATCCAAAGCTTAAACTCACAAAAACACTGCAGGTAAAAGGGGAACACAAATATGTGAGAGGAATGATAACCAAAAGCTAGTACAGCCATACTAATATTGGAAAAATAGGCTTTAAGTAAAAATTTATTAATAGGGAGACACAGAGTCACTACATGATAATAAAAGTTTTAATCCTCCAGGAAGATATCCAGTTCAAACTTGGTATGCAACTAACAATAAAGACTCAAAATTTATACAGAAAAAATTTTAAACGATCACAAGGTAAAATATTTTTAAAGAACTCCTGCAGTAATTGATAGATAAAGTACACAAAAATATGTAAAGATGTTTTACTTTTTATATAATGTATATATTTAGGCCCTTGCACCAACACAGGAGAGAACTGGATTGAACTCAGAGACACAGAGAAAGCAGATCCTGAAGACACTGTTTAAGACCCAATCAAACTCTGCTCTACCCAAATCTTACCCTCCTCCAATTCCCAATGGTTCTTAATGCTTTAAAGAGAGAAAGAAACAAAAAGGAAGTATTTTATAACAAAAGCAGACATGAAAGAAAAAAAAAAAAAAACTAAAGCCCAGTCTTATCCATGAACATAAATGCAAAAGAATAAAAGAAAAACACAATCAGCATAAACAACAGAAATCATCAACATATAAAATAATGACCAAGTCTTGTTTCTCCCAGAAATACAAGAATCCCTTCATATTAGAAAATCTATTTGTGTAGTTCATCACTATAACTTATTAAAAGAAGTATACCACATAATCATTTAAATTCATCAACTATGCATGATAAAATTCTTAGCAAACTAGTAATAAAAAAGAAATTTCCTTAGTTTAATAATGGGTATCCACCAAAAACTACAATAAGCATCTTACTAAATAAATGATGACATGATAGAAGCATTTCCTTTAAAATCAGAAAAAAAGACTAAGTGACCCATACCTATGACTGCTTATAACTTAAAAATATATTAGAGGTTCTAATAATAGAATAGGACAAAAAATAAAATAAAATATAACCGCTGGAAAAAAAAATTACAATAGAACAAGAAAAGAAAAACATTTATAAGACTGAAAAGAATGAAGATAAATAATCATTATTTCCAGACATGATATTGTCTATGTAGAAATCCAAGAAAATTTATAGAAAAATTTATAATAAATAAGTCAATTATTACTATATTAGATCCTTTTGGAACTTTCATTTTGCATTTAGGCCTTTAATCTTTTTAAATTTTGAAATATGATGTAATATAGGAATATATAAACACCAAAACACAAACCACAAAGGTTGATAAGCTTGACTCCATGAAAATGTAAAACCTGTTCATCAAGACAGCATAAAATAGGTGATCAAAGCCTCATAACAGTAGATGTTTGCAACATATATGACAAAAATAAGAATTAGGATCTAGAATCCAGTGAAGAAACAAATGAGAAGCTTGTACAGATCAAAAGATAGAAAACATCTCAATATGAAATGGAGCAGAAAAGAAATTCGCAGAAAAGCAATAACTGAAAGATGTTCACCTTCACTAGCATTCATGAAAATCAGCACTAAATGCACAATGGGATACTAGTTTATAACCTCAAATGGCAAAATTTAAAAAGGCTGTTAATTCCAAATGTTATTGAGGATGCTGTTTTTAAATTAGCACAGCCACTTTGGACATCAATTTAATAAAAGCTAGTAAACTTGAAGATATATATCCCAAATCACACATACACAAGTAAAAACATACACAGGAATACTCACTCTAGAATTGTTCTAGGTGTAAGATATTGGAGAAAAACTAAATTTCCATTAACCAGAGAAAGGATGATTTTGATATGTCATTTTAAAGTGAGCATAAATAAACTAGAGATACATATCAACATTGATAAATCTCACAATGTTTAGTGAAAAAAAATTACAAAATTGCATTTTGGTTATAGGAGTATATACCTATTCTTTACAAGTATATATGTAAGTAGTAAAGGTACAAGGAATGCATGATACATACCAACTTCACAAGTGTGGTTATCTCTAAAGGGGATGGAGGGAAAATTTACTCATCAGGGGTACACGGGGACTTCATCTCTACAAATAACATTTTACTTTTGAAGCTGGATAATGGTTATATACTCTTTTATAACTTTTTATAACTTAAATACTTATTAATAATTATTTCAAAGAAGTTAAGTGCTATGTAGAAAGAAAATCAAAACCAAGGTAAGAATAATTTAAAAACTGCCTGTCTTCTCAATTTCGCTTTCTTTTGGGAGGGTTCCAAATTAAACATTACATTCTAAGCTTCCATATATTGAATTACCAAGAAGACTATAATAATCATGCTTAATAATATGAAAAGACAGACTGAAAACACTCCATATTTTCATCAAAATCTCTTTCAACATAATAACCTAGAGAACTTCTGAAAAATGTACAACTTTGCCCTTTGTATCAGACACATCTCACTCCAGAAATCTCAAACTGTGGTTCCTGTCAGAACCACCTGGGAAATTTAGTAAAAGCACAACATGACGTTGTGAACATGAAGGTGGAACCAGAAAACCTCCATAAAGGGGCAACCAGGAGAATGAGGGAAAGCATCCCATTTTCAAATAGAAGCAAAGATTTTAGAAGTTGAAAATACTTGATGATAAAATAANCTGTGGTTCCTGTCAGAACCACCTGGGAAATTTAGTAAAAGCACAACATGACGTTGTGAAGATGAAGTTGGAACCAGAAAACCTCCATAAAGGGGCAACCAGGAGAATGAGGGAAAGCATCCCATTTTCAAATAGAAGCAAAGATTTTAGAAGTTGAAAATACTTGATGATAAAATAATTCCAAACCACCTTCTATTCACCAGAATGTTCTCTAGCTATTTTTATGTGCAGCAAGTTTGAACAAAAGTGAATGAATAAAATTAATCTCATCTTGGGCCGGCCCGGTGGCGCACTGCTACAGTGGGCCGCTTGGGAGTGCGGCAGCGCTCCTGCCGAGGGTTCGGATCCCACATACAGACCGGTTCCCGCTCACTGGCTGAGCGAGGGGCGGGCGCAGCACCAAGGGTTGCGATCCCGTTGCCGGTCCTGGTCCGGTAATGGCGCGACACTGAGGGTTGCAGTCCATTGCCGGACACGAAAAAAAGACAAAAAAGGAAAAAAAAAAATTAATCTCATCTTAGTGAAATGTCTTAATAATAGACTATTTTATAGTATATATATACATCTCGAATCAGGTTTTGAAAGTCAACTCGACCATTTCCTTTTATCTCAAGGTGAGGTCTGATAGCAAAGACTTTTGATCACACATTTGTTTAAATGGGCAATCTCTGCCATTCCCATGATCCAGGCATTCCCCAAGTCAGACTATAGTGAATTTTCAGAGAACAATGCCAGGACCTTAGAGATCACTATTCTAAAATCTTTTTAAACCAAAGAGTTTAGTACAACGTTCACTAGTCATTTGTTTAATGAATAAATTTATCTGAGAACACACTGTCACATTTCATTGATAAGGATTTGACGGTCTGCAAGGAAACGTGACTTAGTGATCAAGTCACAGAGTTTTTCAGAAGGAAAGCCAGGATGAGAATCCAGTGCCTTGACTCCCCCACCATGCTCTTGCCCAGTGTCTACACTACCAATTCAAAGTGTGAAACATAAACTGAAGACTGTATCTGGTACTTTACTGCTCACTGCTCCTCCTAGCACCACATAATGGCTCTTGACTGATGGTGTGTAAACAGAGAGGGATTTTAAGGGTAGAGACTCATAATAATCTTAGCAAAATGCAATATCCTTATTGGTAAAGTATAAAACTTAATCTCTTATAAACACATTGATAAGAAACTGGAATTTGGAAAAAGATGTCATAAGCCAAATAAATAAGTGATACATAGATAATCACCAAATGTATTTGCTATAAATTATGACAGTTTCTGAATAAAAAATATGAGAACCTCTCAAATATCATAAGGATTGCCATTAGTATTATTATCTGAAGAAAACACTATTTGCAAACTGCTGTCAGCTTAACCATTCTGCCATGGTCACTTAAGACAGGGTCTCTAGCTATTTTTATGTGCAGCAAGTTTGAACAAAAGTGAATGAATAAAATTAATCTCATCTTAGTGAAATGTCTTAATAATAGACTATTTTATAGTATATATATACATCTCGAATCAGGTTTTGAAAGTCAACTCGACCATTTCCTTTTATCTCAAGGTGAGGTCTGATAGCAAAGACTTTTGATCACACATTTGTTTAAATGGGCAATCTCTGCCATTCCCATGATCCAGGCATTCCCCAAGTCAGACTATAGTGAATTTTCAGAGAACAATGCCAGGACCTTAGAGATCACTATTCTAAAATCTTTTTAAACCAAAGAGTTTAGTACAACGTTCACTAGTCATTTGTTTAATGAATAAATTTATCTGAGAACACACTGTCACATTTCATTGATAAGGATTTGACGGTCTGCAAGGAAACGTGACTTAGTGATCAAGTCACAGAGTTTTTCAGAAGGAAAGCCAGGATGAGAATCCAGTGCCTTGACTCCCCCACCATGCTCTTGCCCAGTGTCTACACTACCAATTC